TCTACACCCAGAATCTCAACTACCACTACAGCTGATGACTCCTAATTCTGCCTCTCCAACTCAAAGAAACTTCACCCTAGTTTTTCCTTGAATAATTCCCTCCACACCAGGTTGACTATTTCCTGCATACTCTCAAATTATACTTAAAAAATTCTAATGAGGCATTCCTCAATCATATTGTCTACAGTTCTACATCCTTACATGCCCCAGACACACTATTTATCTTTATAGCATTTACCATGTTACATTACAAATTACTATTTCCCCCACCAGATAATACGGTGCTTGAGATTTGACATTATGTCTTATTCCCAATCTCCCCAGTGCCCAGCATCGTTCAAAATACATAATAGGCACTCAAATATTAACTAAACCCATAAGCAGGAGAAATATAATTTGCTTTAAAGCATACAATTTCTGAAAGAAACCTTCAGAAATTTTTTTCAAATGAGAAAACAGGCCAAGAAAGGTGACTCACCCAGTCAAGCCTTGGTCTCCTGAATCACAATTCTCTTCCCACAAAATCATAGTGCCTATTAAATTGTGCTTATTGAGCCAAACTTTCCATGAAGCTCTAGAAATACAAAAATGTTAAGAAAAGAACCATTTCAACTTCATCCTACCTCAGCTCTGGCTGGCTATATCAGTTGTCAAGAACTCTACTGTTAATTATTACTTAATAGCTTTTCTGCTCAGAATAGACTAATCTTTAATTGAACCAGTGTTTTCACATGTCCTTCACACAAACAATACATATCACGCATCTCTATGTGAAAAACAAATGTTTGGGAATTTATAATTTGTCAGTACTCCAAAATATAAACTTAAGAACATACATTGTATGCCCTTTAATAATATCTGAAATATCTGCCCTAAACCAAAATCTAATCACATCTGAGAGAAATTAAATGTGAACACTAGAGATAGGCACTGCAGCTTCAATAAGGAAAATCCCTATAGTCCAATGCTACTGTTTCCAGTGGTTGCTATGTTATACTGCAATTGGGTTACTGGGCAACAACTCAGAAGCTAGGATTGCAAGTTCTCTAAAGAAACAACAGAATCAAACCAAGATTTATAAAATACTCTGAGACTCAATTTCATCTTTTTATACCTTCAGCTGAAGTAACTCTTTGTTATAAGCACCAGATACAGGATTTACAGCAAGACTATTAAACTACCTGGACATTTTAAATACATAGGTAGAGAATGGTAAGTGCTTTCCAAAAGGCAATGGCCAGGTTTAGGTTCCTCCTAACTCTGAATTTTAATCCAAAAGCAATTTGAAGTCACAATTTGCAGAAAGCAAATAACTGGACATTTTCTGACTTTCTTAATTTCTTTCATCCTGGATTACAGCTCAGTTAAACTAAAAAGAAATAGTACTAGATTTGACAGTCAGTGCTATGACCTACAGAGGGCGGTTCTAATGGAAAAATATATAATAAGCTTAGGAGAATTGCTAATTTATGAGGGACAGATGAAAGAATTGACATAACTTCATAAATTAAGTTTCAACTAGGTCAAAAAGTAGGATGGAAAGCAGTAAACCGGGAAGATGGAAAAAGGCATAGAAGGAAGGAGGGAAAAGGGGGAGGAGGAAATGGTATGGAGGGACACACTTTTAAAACTAAGATTCTACTAAGGAAGAACCAGGAAATTGACCAAACTCCCCAAGCCCACATGGGAGTAGTGCCAGCATTCCTGAGGGAGTCCTTACTGCTGGTATTGTCATGGGAAATTCTCAAATATTCACACTTTCTAGGAACAGAAACTTTCCTTCCGATTCCAATGAATTCCCACTCTTTAATCTCCTTTCTTATCGTTTACTGTTGCCCTTCCTCAATTTCTCTACTCTCTCAACAATCTTCTTACTCCCAGTATGCTATGGAAGGAGAGGGACAGAAATGCACATTCATCATCTTTAAGAAACATTTATTCAGCAACTTCTACTTGGAAAAGACTAAGTATACAGCTCATTGAAATCTGGAGTTCTGCTTTTAAAGGGGCTTACAATCTAGTTAGGAAGTCATGGTAAACATTAAAAAAGATTAATACAATACAAAGGATAGGTATCAATTATATGACTCCCAAATTCATAGTATTTCCTACAGTATGTATGAGGTCATGATGAAGTTGAACCTTATAGCAAAAATACAATTTACATTTTAATAAAGAGGGAAAGAAATCAGGTGAGGGAGGTAGAAAGACATGAAAACTAATATGGAAAGAAGAAAGCACATAGTAGGTTTAGAGGACAGACAAGAAACCAGTCTGGGCAGAAACACCTTTTCTATAAAGAACATAAGCTTGAAAAGGCAAAGAGGATTTTAAAGAGTTCAGCTTAGATCAAAAAATGTGAATTTCAGTTATTAGAAAGTTTTTTCACAGATATATACACACATTCTCTAGAAGTACACGCAGGTTAAACAATGTGAGAAAATTACTTACTGAACCTAATACATTATGCATGACAAAATTAAAATCAAAGTCACTCACTTTAGGCAAAGAGACTACCTAGAAAGAGAGAAAAAAAGAATTCTGACAATTCACTAATCTTTCTGTTAGTTTTTCATTCTTCTAAGATTCTTGACTTAGAACTTCACATGACATAATGCTGTTTTCTGATTACTAAGGATTTTTTCGCTCATCATGAGTCTTTTTTTTTTTTCCTGTTTGTCCTGCCCAACTTTGGAATATTTCATTACTTCAACATCAGCATGTAAGAAAGAAAAAGGGGGAGAGAACTAAAATGAAGCTATGGGTTTTAGAAATACAGTAAAGGCATGATGTTAAGAACATCAAACTCCAAGTTCCAATTCCCATTACTAATACACTGACTTCAAAGAAGTCATTCAGTCTCACTGTCTCAAATGTCCTCATATACTTACTTGAAAGCTTATTGCATTCAAAAGATCATTTAGAAAACTAAAAACTTGCCATACAAATTATATCATTAAGAGTTCAATGAACGAAGTGAGGTTATTAACTAAGCCAACGATTAAAAACTACCTATGAATAGTGTTTCAATCTCCCACTGATGTCTGAAACTCTAAATTGGTATTACACCATTATTCGAGAATATTTCTAAATATAGTCTGCACACTTCATCTGATTTGAAAAGAAAATACTCAAAGTAAGGCTAATACTCAGCATACTATGACCTAAAAAAAAAAAGCAAAGGGCAACTCAAATCCATTTGCAACTCTGAGTCCTGTGTGACAATGCAATTTAAAACATTCTAATAATTCTAAACAAAAGAGTTTAAAACCAAACCTCAATACAAAAGTTGAGTAGTAACTGTAACCACCTACAGGCTAACCTCATGAATTTTGAGAATTCTGACTCCAGATAATTGTAGGATAGGTAAGTTTTCTAGTTGAATGTTATACTTGTTTACTGATCCGTTGCCTGGTAACAGATGCATTGCTTTACCGACCTACTCAGTTTTGGACCCACTCAAGTATTTTGTGCTCATAGTTTGAATAGATTATGAACTATATATCATGAACATGTCCCTCCTTATCCTAGACCTCTTTGATATTTGAAACAGCTTCATCATTACATGATGATTAATGTGACCAAAGGCTTTCAAAACACTTAGCAGTGGGTATGTTTAAGGGCAAAGTGCTCATTGACTATGGTCAAAAGTTGGACACTAAAGATTTACCAAAGTATCTATTTAAACCCGACATACACTAACATATTTTAGACGTTATCTCACTAATGGCAGCCAACATCACTGTTAAAATTGTCTTTAAGGCCAAGGAAAATGTTGGTATAGCTTCTTCATCGTAAATTAAACTGGAGATACTTACACGTTTAGCCAATTTACTAAACTGGCTACACAACCACCACACTAGAGTGCATCAAAAAAGCTCCATAAAGAGCATTTAAGTGGCTACAGAACGTGTCTCGCAGGCTAGTTTTCTAACACGCGCCTCAATTACTTTTCTAGGAAAATAAAAAAGGATTCAAGGGTAGGTTGGGGAAGGGGGGTGGAAAAGATGATGTCCCCAGAAAGAGAGGTTACGTACCAGACTCACACACGGTCCTTGCAACTTGTACACATAAAACTTAAGTGACCGGAGTTCTGGCCGCACTTGCCACCGGGGGGACACCGCCACAGCTCCAACCATCGGCACCCACTCAACTTGGCTCGTGGAGACATTGGGGCAAAGGGTTACAGTCCTACAGCGGGGTGTCGGCCCAGCCCGCCAAGCCTGCGGAGGTCCCGGCGGCCGCTCGCCCAAGCTGAAAAGGAGGAGCCGGAGGGCCGAGCGGGCTCCTCGGCCCCCCAACCTGGGGAAAGCTGATGTATCTCGGGAGAGCTCCGAGAGCAGCAGCGACAAGCCTCGCTCTTCCTCGGCGGCCCGGCCTCCTCAGGGGTGCAGGGCCAACCCCGGCGCTGACGTCCGGCCGAAACGCCGCCTCAGCCCGCCGCCGCTCCAGCCCGGCGGAGCGGGGTCGGTCCCGAGACTCAGAGGCGCGCGAAGCAGGAAGTCCCGCCCCTACGCCGACGTCACCCACGCACGGACGCCGGCCGCGGCCGGAGCCGTTAGAGGCGAGAAGCTAAGGAACCCAGGCGGGAGCGGTCACTGGCAACCGCAGGCGTGTGGGGGCTCAGGCGGTGCTCTTGTAGTGCCCTGAGGAGACGAAGAGGTCCCCCGAGACCCCGGTACTTGCCTCAAGGAGCCAGAGTGACGCGGGAAGCCAGTCTCCCTGGCCTCCGCCCAAAGCAGCATCTCTAGGGGTTTTACCCCTTTTCGCGCTTCTCCTTACCTCTTCCCACACTCTTCTCTGAGGGCTTCCGTGGTCATCCTGCCGCCACCTCCGTCTGCCCGCCTTCATGCCTGTGCGTGCAGATTTGCAGGCTCCCGAAGTCGCCTGCCTACCCCTCCTGCCTTGGGGCGTCAGCCCACGAGTGGGCAGTCGGCCCAGCTTGCCACGAGGGACCGCTCAGGTCAGGACCCACGGCCCAGGAGAGAGTCCCTCCCCGCCCCCGCACCTGCACCTCCTGTTCCAAATCTCCTTACATAGTTAGCCACAAATCAGGGCCCTATTGGAGTCACATGGTGAAACTGTTGTCTTCAGGCTGACAACTAACTGGAAGAAGGGATACTAGCTTTTGAGAATCTCGGTTATAACCCAAGAGCTGAGATAAGGTAGGCTTTCCTTCCAGCCTTTCAAAATAGGTGGTGGAAGAAATAGGCACCTTGCCTTCCCCATCGTTTGTTCAATGCCTTGGTTTGGGTTTTGATTCTCACTACATTGTAAAGAACAGCTTTTTTTTTTTTTTCTCGCCAAGGCTAATGTTTTCAGGTTCTTGTTATGATTAGAAATACAACAGATGTGACCATTTTTATTGAAATGAGGAAAAAGGGCGTTAGAAAGACAGTGAGTTGGTAATGGATGGGTTACACATATATGACATGGGAGATGTTTCAAAGAACAGAATAGAGGATCTGACAAAAAATACCTATGTACTTACGTTTCGTATAATAACAATAGCTCCTATTTGCTAAGCACTTAATGTATCAAGTACTGGCATACTTTATCAGGTTATCTTATTCAACCGTCACATCTCTGTAAAGTTACCCAGAATCATTATTTGCAAACGTTGGTGCCAGACAACTCCAGAAATTTCGGTGGTAACCAGTATATTCATTACAAATCATTCATTGGCCAGTGGGAAAAAGATTATTCAAGAAACGAGTGGGCCATTGGGGAGAGGGTTTACATCTATCTCATTTCTCATGCCAAAATAAATACTAGACAAATCAAAGACTCAGAAGTAAAGAATGAAGCCTGGCAAGGTGGCATGCATCTGTAGGCCCAGCTACTTGGGATACTAAAATGGGAGGATGGCTTAAACCGAAGAGTTAGAGTCCAGGCTGGGCAGTATAGTAGACCCCATCTCTAGGGGGAAAATGAAACAATAAAAATAGAATAAAATCGAGGTTAATATGTATAATCTAGAAGAAATGTCTTTTCTAAATATGAAACAAGAATCAGAAACATTGAAGAAAATGGTAAATTTAACCACATAAAGATTATTATTGTCTACACATGAAGTTGGAAAACAGTGAACAGGGAAATAAATTTGTATCAATTGCATCATATCATTTGTATCATATGAAAAAAATCATAATATACAAAGAATTCTTAGAAAATCAGTAAAAAACTTAAATACCCCAATTTATAAAAGTGGCAAAAGATACCACTAGACAGTCTAAAGCCAAAAAAAACCAAGCATCCAATTAATAAAAAGATGTTCAACTTCCAAACAAATCTTTTTTTGTCTATCAGAGTTGATAGGGATATGGGGATACAATTACTGTCATGCATTATTGATGTGAAGGTGAAATTGGTACAATCTTACCAAAATTTGACATATACATTAGCCTTTGCCCCAGGAATCTCATTTCCTAGGCATTTATTCTAAGGAAAATAAAAGAAAAAAGAGATTCACAAGGATATTTTTTGCCACATTTTTTTAATAACAGCTGTGTCTAGAAACAATGTAAGTGGCCACCACTAGGACACTAATTAAAATTATAATGCATACAATGAAGTAAACCCATTTAAAAGCAATGATGTAAATTTCTTTATTTACATGAAAATGTATATAAATCACATAGGTTGGAGTTTTTCCCCCTCAGGAAGAAAAGCAGACTACAGATTAGCATGTTCAGTACTGTCCCAATGTGAATTTTTATGTACATATGAGAATATAAGTGTACAGAAAGATCTGAAAGGATGTTAGTCAAATCCAAGTGACTTTCATCTTTTGGACTTTTCTATCTTAAGGGGTTTTTTTAAATAATGAATTTATCATTTTTACAAGAACAAAGTTGTGTTTTTTATTTTTTAATTAAAGATGTACCAATGAAAGGGGGGCCAGTTGACTGCAGGCCTTCACAGGTAGGTAACCTTGGTATAGTCACTATGTCTGGGGATCTGAATCTCAGCATTTTTATGCCTATAAATTTGATTATATTAACTTGCCTACTGGTGGACAAGCTGACTTACCACTTGGATCATGATTTTGACTCAACATGATTTGACTCCCCAGATTGGACTCTGGATATCCTTCCTTCCTGTGTGTGCCTCTTGTGGTATTTGTTGCACTGTAATTTCCTCTTTCTGCCACTAGACTGCTTCTACCATATATATATATACACACACACACAAATACCTTTTTCTGTCATGTGTTACACATTACTTTTTTCTTGATTCAGTATTTGTCGCCCACATTTCTGTACAGAAGTTTTAATTTTAACATAGTTAAAATACTGATGGAATTATATAGATCTTAAAGAGATATTTTGAACAACTTTGTGCCAGTAAATCCAGTGACTTAGTTAAAATAGACAGTTCCTGAAAAAATACAAATTACCAAAACTGACACAAGAAGGAAAAGAAAACATAAAAAGCCCAATATCTATTAAAGGCATTGAGTTTGTAAGCAAAAAACTTTTCACAGGAAAACTCCAGGCCTAGTGAATTTTATCAGACATTTAAGGAAGACAAAGTACCAATCCTACACTATTTCAGAAAATACCATGGGAAGAAATACTTCTAAATTTATTCTATAAGGCCAGCGTAATCCTGACACCAAAATTTGATGAGAATGTTTTATAAGAAAATTACCAGTATCACTGATGAATATAGATAAAAAAATTCTTACATTAGCAAATTGAACCTTACAATATAGAAGATAAGATACCATGACCAAGGAGAGTAGGTTAACATTGAAAAATCAATGTAATTCACCACATTAACAGAATGAAAGAGAAAACAAAATGATGGTCTCAATAGATGCAGAAAAAGCATTTGACAAAAGTCAAAACCTACTAATGTTAAAAACTCTCAGCAAGCTAGGAATAGAAGGAACTTCCTCAATCAGATAATGTCATCTTTCAAAAACTTAATGGTAAGATATTAAATGCTTTTCCCCTAAGATCAGGAACAACAAAGGTAAGATAAGAATTTCTGCTCTCGCCACTTCTATTTAAGATATTGGAAGATTTAATTAATGCAATAAAACAATAAGAAAAAGAATGAAGATTGGAAAGACTCATACTTCCTGATTTTAAAACTTGCTATGAAGCTACAGTAATCAAGATAATACTATACTTGCATAAGGATAGAAGTACAGGTCAGTATAATTGGAATATAATTGAGACTCCAGAAATAAATTACATTTATGGTCAATTGACTTTCAACAAAATGTCAGAACAATTCAATGGAGGCAAGCATAGATTTTTCAACAAATGGTACAGGAAAACCTGTATATCTACATGGAAATAAAAATGAAGTTGGATCCCTACATCACACCATTTATAAATATTAGGATGAACCAAAGATTCAAATGTAAGAGCTAAAACTATAAAACTCTTAAAAAATATATAACTGTAAATCTTCATGACCTTGAACTAGGTAGTGGTTTCTTAGATGTGACAAAAAAAGCAAAACCAAGGGAAAAAATAAATTGTACTTCATCAAAATGTAAAATTTTTATGCTACAAAGAACATTATCAAGAAAGTGAGTTGGGGACAGGTGCTCATGCCTATAATCCCAGCACTTTGGGAGTCTGAGGCAGGAGGATCACTTAATAAGCCAGGAGTTCGAGACCAGCCTGGGCAGAT